TCTACCAATCATCTATCTCTACCTATCTATCTACCTATCTATCTATCTAATCGGTCAATCTCCTATCTATCTACCTACGCACCTATCTACCATTCTATCTATCTATCTAATCGGTCAATCAGTCTATCTATCTACCTACGCACCTATCTACCATCTATCTATCTATCTAATCGGTCATCGGATCTATCTATCTATCTACCTACGCACTATCTACCATTCACTATCTATCTAATCGGTCAATCAGTCTATCTATCTATCTACCTACGCACCTATCTACCAACCTATCTATCTAATCGGTCAATCAGTCTATCTATCTACCTACGCACCTATCTACCAACCTATCTATCTAATCGGTCAATCAGTCTATCTATCTATCTACCTACGCACCTATCTACCAATCAATCAATCTATCTAATCTATCTATCCATCAACCTGCAAACGACTTTTATCTCTCCCCGTCGTCGCAAAGGTCGTGTTGCTGGCGCTGTTTGGTCTGGCGAGCTGCCGCACTCTGCTCTTCGACGACGATGACGACTTCGATGCTGCACACATGTGAGTACCACTTTCGAGGAGATGAAGGTTTGTGTCTGTATTCGTAGGCGTACATGTGGTCATGGAAATGCTGTTTTTTTTTTTTTTTTTTTTTTTTTTTTTTTGTTTTTTGTGTGTGAAGATATGCGTGGGGATGTGTTCTGGGTGTGTATTAGTTTTTGTTTTTGTTGTGTATTTGTACGCGTTTGTGGTCATGGATATGCTGGTTTTTGTTGTGTGAAGATATGCGTGAGGATGTGTTCTGGGTGTGTAGTGTTTATGTTTTTGTTTTTGTCTGTGTATTCGCACGCGTACATGTGTCATGCTTGTTTTTTGTGTGTGAAGATATGCGTGAGGATGTGTTCTGGGTGTGTAGTGTTTATGTTTATGTTTTTGTCTGTGTATTCGGACGCATACATGTGGTCATGGAAATGCTGTTGTTTTTTGTGTGTGTGAAGATATGTGTGAGGATGTGTTCTGGGGTGAGTGTTATTTTGTTTTTGTTTATGTTTGTATTCGTACGCATACATGTGGTCATGGATATGCTGTTGTTTTTTGTGTGTGAAGATATGCGTGAGGATGTGTTCTGGGTGTGTAGTGTTTATGTTTGTGTTTTTGTTTATGTTTGTGTATTCGTACGCGTACTTGTGGTCATGGGTATGCTGTTGTTTTTTTGTGTAAGATTATGCATAATTATGTTCTGGGTGTTGTAGTGTTTATGTTTTATGTTTTTGTTTATGTTTGTGTATTCGGACGCATATATATGGTCATGGATATGCTGTTGTTTTTTGTGTGTGAAGATATGCGTGGGGATGTGTTCTGGGTTGTGTTTATGTTTTGTTTTTGTCTGTGTATTCGTACGCGTACTTGTGGTCATGGATATGCTGTTGTTTTTTTTTTTGTGAAGATATGCGTGAGGATGTGTTCTGGGTGTGTAGTGTTTATGTTTTTGTTTTTTGTTTTGTGTATTCGGACGCATATAATGGTCATGGATATGGGTGTTTTTTTGTGTGAAGATATGCGTAATGATGTGTTCTGTGTGTGTGTGTAGTGTTTACCATGTGTGAATTTAATTACAGTAAGTTATTTTCAGTACAGGAAGTCTCTGTCGCGTTCCAGCCTGGGTACATGTTTTAGCATGTGAAGATGTATGTTTATAGACGTATGTAGTATTGGTGGTTATATATAGATGCAACATATACACAGTTAGAACGTGGCATCATCTTGATAAAGTCGTTGGGTGAAGTTAGGAATATGCAGGGAAGAATCACTAGAGATGTATGCAGATTTTGCAAAAAAAAAAAAAAAAAAAAAAAAAAAAATGAAGAGGAAGAATGCGTAAAGAAAGAAAGAGAAAAAAGGAAATACTAGATACACAGAGAGAAATCGAAAAAAATAATGAAAATGAGATTGATAAAAAGAAGGATAAATAAAATCACTTTTAAACAGCTTCGACGACGACGACGCCGACGACCTGCCGTCTGCCTTCGCATCCCGAGGCAGTCCCTTGGCTTCGTCCTACGCCTCCTCTCTCGCCCTCCCCACCGCCGTCCAGAACCTGGGGGCGCTGAGGGCGAGGTCCTTCCGCCTGCCCTCCGCTTTCGCCTCAGCAGGACCCCTGGCGACCTCCTACTCGGCCTCCTTCGTCCTGCCTTCGAGGGTGGAGGTCATCGACGACGGGTTCGACTCGGCGGAGGAGGACTGAATCGGGTGGCGCCTCTTGGCTTCTCTTCTTCCCTTTTCTTCTTCTTTTCTTCTTCACTTTTCTCTGCTTTCCCTTTCTTCTTCTTGTCTTCTTCACTTTTCTCTTCTTTCCCTGTATTCGTCTTTTCCTTTTCGCTTGTCTTTTCTTGCCTTCTGTTCTTCGTTTCCTCCTTTCTCTCTCTGAGCTACGTGCTGTGTCGGTCTGAAACATAGAGAATGTATTTTCGATTCTATTGGGAAATAAAGTTTGTAATATATCTATGTTCCTTGTATCTTTGCACTTAACCGATCAACTTTATAATAAAATTTGTCAATACGATTTATTTCCTTTTATCAAAAGCACTAGAACTATGTTACGTAAAAGAGTTTTCAGTTTTTCAAAGGGATTAGATGAAATAAGAAAATCAGTGTTGTGTATACAGGAGTTTATTCATAAATTTCATGCATATGCTCGAACATATACATGTACACATATTCTTACGTACATTTGCATACACAAACTCAAAAGACTGACGCATCGTTACATCTTTATCTTTTATATTTTTGTGGGAAATGATTTTGGAATATCTAAACCGAGGAGAAATTTATATTCTTGTTCATCAAAAAAAACAAACAAAAAAAAACAAAGTATTGATGGCGGTAATAATGGCAATGGTAATGATAGCAATGAAATATTCATGATCATTATAGTATCAACAGTGAAAATGATAATCATAATCGTAATGATAATAATAATGATTACAACAATAATGTTAATGACGATAATAATAATAATAATGGACATGATAAAAGTTGAATGATAATTGAATATCGTGACACCGATGTTTTCATTCCTTTCCTGATCTGGTTTAACACGAATCCTGTTTATGGAGTCATTATAAAAGCAAGAACATTATAATTATAAAAGGATGAACACCTGGTGAACTTTGGAAAACTATTTCAAAGGTTATTCCCTTTACAGAGATGGTTGATGAGGGTAGTGATGCGTTATCAACAAAAATGATATTAGATACATATGTATACGAGTAATGAAACAAAGAATTCTAGTTATTAGAAATTTAGGTTGGGTGTTTGGCTTTTTATTTCACTGTCTGGAGGCATTTATATTTTTTTTTATTATATATATATATATATATATATATATATATATATATATATATATATATACATACATACATATATATATATATATGTTATATATATATATATATATATAATATATATTATTATAATATATATATATATATTTTTTTTTTTTTTTTTTTTTTTTTTTTTTTTTTTTTTTTTTTTTTTTTTTTTTTTTTAAGAATATTGAAGTCGGAAGTGTATGTAATATACTTTAAGTGACCAGAATCTTGGGATCTATACTGACTCTGATTCTTTATATATTATTAATGATTGTTTGACATGTATTAATTTTTTTTCTGAATCATTTGAACGTCTGTTGCGTTATCTATTGCTCGCAGAGGCATTAGTCAATGAAGATGATTTCCTCGTTTGAATTTATGAATGAGTAAACATATGTCGTATATGCATTTTCAAACATGATTTCAACGTGTTTATTTTTGGATCATGTGGTTGTTTCTATTGCTATTGCTAATACTAATCTTGCAGCAAAATAGGTTGTAAGTTTTGTGCTTTTTTTATGATATGATTTCACTAGATCATCTTGAACAGCAGTTAATGGTACTGAGAGCAAGGGTTGTACAACAGCATTTTTTTATTTGATCTAGGTGTTGTAAATGTCATCAAAGTGTATCTCAATTATCTTATATCTGTCCATATGTACACCCACAAAGAGAGAGAGACCAGAGAGAGAGAGAGAGAAGAGGAGAGAGAGAGAGAGAGAGAGAGAGAGAGAGAGAGAGAGAGAGAGAGAGAGAGAGAGAGAGAGAGAGAGAGAGAGAGAGAGAGAGAGAAGAGAAAGGAGAGAAAGAGAAAGAGATTAATAGATAGAAAGATAGAGAGAGAGCGGGATGGGTGGGGGGGGAGCGAGAAAAGAGAGGAAAGTGATAGAAGGAAAGAAAGAAAGAGAGGGAGAGAGAAGAGAGAAGAGAAGAAAGAGAGATTTAGAGAGAGAGAGAGAGAGAGAGAGAGAGAGAGAAGAGAGAGAGAGAGAGAGAGAGAGAGAGAGAGAGAGAGAGAGAGAGAGAGAGAGAGAGAGAAAGTGAGATAGATAGAGAGATAGAGAGATAAAAAATATAGAACTGAAAGAAAGGGAAAAAATATAAATATATAGATAGACAGACTGATAGTAAGATAGGGAGTGAAAGGAAGAAATATTTCTATATATAGAGAGACAGAGACAGAGATGTATAAGTCCGCAACATCTCCATCGTATTGGTACTCGCGTAGGTACCAGCGAATCAACCACTAGTTAAGCTTTTCTTGCGTAAGGAGTGAACTGATTTCAATTGCTCTACGCAAGCACTCACATACATCTCTTGAATGTACTAGAAATTAAGGAAATGTTACAAATATTCATCTTCTTAATCTTCATAAACAGATTCAGCCAAAGAAATCTCCCAAACAGATTTGAGGAAAATCTGTCTTGAGAAGATCCAGAAAACATTCGCAGTTCGTTTCTTTATTTTTTTTTCTTTATCCTTTATTTTAATTGTTTTTTCTTTCTTTCTTTTTTTACACGAGTTTGATGACTGCAAAACCGAACGCCTACCTTGACCCAGAATAGCATAATGAATATCAGAATGGAATGGGTCAATAGTGACTAAATAGGGCGATATTCAAGTTGGTATTACTGTAATGATTATCATCATTATTGGTATTATCAGTACTGCCATTATCATTATTATGATTATGGTGATAATTATCATTCTTATTATCATCATCATTCATTATTCAATATCATCATTATCATTATCATTAGTACGACTGTCATTACAATATTAACCGCAGTATCACCTGGGTCTTGGGGAGCTGAGAGCGTTTCTGTCAGCCTCCCCCCTCCCCGTCCCCGCCCCTCCACTTCGGCTCAACAGAGGCAGGGCAACATTCATTCCGTTAATTAAGAAAATCAATGCGCAACAGCTTTTTATACGGAAAATATAAAGCGTAAGGAGTTCAGTTACCTGGGAACCAGCAAGCAGTACTTCGTCCGGTGCATTTTCCCGAGCAAAAACGACGAAAACCGACAACGCAAGATCTTCACGACCGCTGCCCAGCTGCCTCCTCCGCTTCACTAAGGCAGGTCTTCCGTCGGCCTCACGATCCGCCAGTTCTCTCTCGGCCGCCGCAGCATCAACATCTGGACTCCTGACACAGTTCCCTCACCGGACCTGCCACCTTTTCGGCCTCTTAATTGATGTTCCCACTTTCTGAGGATTTGTTGCTGTTAGTTTGCTATGCAATCTCTGCTATGAGTCTGCGGTTGCCGGGTGAAGGCTCAGCCTGCCAAAGACACCCATCCCTCCTTCCTCCGGATCAAGTGGTCCTTCTTAGGGCAGCTGAAGGTGAAGCTTTGTCGTGTCTTGGACCGAATCTCCTTCCACGGCCTCTTTCCACTTTTCTCCTTCAGGCCTTTTGGGACTTGTTAGTAGCTGCTAGGGCTGGCTGGGGTGGCCTGCGGAGGACGAGGTGCAAGCAAGCCCCAGGTGAATTTGGGTCTCTTCACGGACTCCGCAGTCGCCTCTTTTTCTTTTTACGCCTCGGGCCAGCCCCTGGCGGCGAACAGCTGTCTTGTCTTCGGCAAGTGGGGGCAAAGAGGACGAGGCGTCGTCAGGCGGACGAGGACGGCACGTCGCGGAGGGCGCCGCTGGGAGCGGCCTCCGACGCTCTGAAGGAGCCTGGCGTTGGGGGAGTGACTCTGATTTATAAAAGACTGACCTTTCGGAGGGCGCCGCTGGGAGCGGCCTCCGACGGTCTGAAGGAGCCTGGCCATAAACTTTGACATTACAATGTCGACCTTCAAGCGATGTCACATTCATCAATTAGTAATAAAATGCCAACTGAAAATAAATAAACCCACCGACGGGTAGCTTTAAATAGCCAAACCCGTTTCACATAAAATTATGGAAAATCTGAAAAAAAAGATCCGTCTCGGCCTCTGACTCCAACACAGAAGAGGATCTCGACCAGCCACTCGGCGCCTCCGGCTGTCTCTCTCTCTGAAGAAGGAGCAACTATATGGAACCAAGAACGTTTTCCGCTGCGGTTTCCTTGCTTAAAACGTTTCCCAAGCGATGCGTTGTCCTTGGCTTAGGGAGGCCGCTGAGGCATGCTCTGTGTCACTCGAAATCTGCAATCGTTGTGAGATCTAGCACCTTGGAGTTGCCACAACTTAAATATTGCAATTTCTGCTCCTGATCCTCGTGATTCAAGGTATTCCGAAATTGTCGCTGGATATCAGATACCCGGAAAGTGAAGTGTAATCTAATAGCACTATGTTTATTTATATATCTCTATATACATATATATATATATATATATATATATATATATATATATATATATATATATATATATATATATGTATATATATGTATATATATATATACATATATATATATAATATATATTATATATATATATATAATATATATATATATATATATATATATATATATATATATATATATATATATATATATATATATATATATATATATATATACATCATATATAAATATATATAATATATATAATATATATATATATATATATATATATATATATATATAATATATATACATATATAATATATAAAATATAAATATAAATATAAATAAATATATAAATATACATATATATATATATATATAATATATTATATATTATATATATATATATTATTATATATATATACATATATATATATATATATATAATATATATATATATATATATAATATATATATATATATATAATATATAATATATATATATATATAATATATATATATATATGTATATATATATAATCATATATATATATATATATATGTATATTATATATATATATATATATATATATATATATAATATATATATATATATATATATATATATATATATAGTATAGTATATATAATATATATATATATATATATATATATATATGTATATATATATATATATATATATATATATATATATATATATATATATATATATACATATATATATATATATAATATATATATACATATATAATATAATATATATATATATATAATATATATATATATATATATATGTATATATATATATATATATATATATATATATAATATAATAATATATATTATA